TTACCCATCCAGGAACCGCCAAACTACCCGTTTACGTACTATGTCATTAGGCTCTACAGCGAGAACTTGACCCGCTAGTTGCTGCAACCAGGTCATGAAATCACTCAACTCCTCACCTTGACGTTGGGTGGATTCCTCGAATCTCAAAATTCGAACTTCAATGGCATCAGCAGTCATTAACCTTGACGTCAGTCTCTCTAAAATTTCACCATCACTCTTCCCCCAGTCACCTACCATGCCACTGTGTCACCTACCATGTCTGTGTCACCTACCATGCCACTGTGTCACCTTCCATGCCTTTGTGTCACCTACCATGCCACTGAGCCATCTTCCATGCCTCTGTGTCACCTACCATGCCACTGTGTCACCGACAATGCCTCTGTGTCACCTACCATGAATCTGTATCACCCACCATGCCACTGTGTCACCTACCATGCCTGTGTCACCTACCATGCCTCTGTGTCACCTACCATACCCATGTCACCTACCATGCTTGTGTCACCCATTATGCCTGTGTCACCTACCATGCCTCTGTGTCACCTACCATGCCTTTGTGTCACCTACCATGCCTGTGTCACCTACCATGCCCCTGTGTCACCTACCATGCCTGTTTCACCTACCATGCCTGTGTCACCTACCATACCCCTGTGTCACTTACCATGCCTGTGTCACCCACTATGCCTCTGAGTCACCTACCATGCCTCTGTGTCACCTACTACGATGCTTCATTCTTCGCCTGCAGTGCTGTTAAGTGTTACCCTTTAAAAATGGTGGGAATTTTGGAGTTATCAAGGTTTTACTGTACAATATAGTATGGATTTACGCGGTTTTGGTTAACGCGTTTGGTCATTTACGCGGTGCCTTGCCAGAATTGAAATGCTTTAATTACGTGGTAAATATGGTCATTTACACGGTGAGCAGCTAGAGGTCCAGACGAGCCGCGCCATTTTTTATTCACGCGGTCCATTCTCGACAATGCGCGGATATGGATGCGCAGTATGTCGCTGTTGCGTTATTGGTGACGTCATATGATGTACAGTGAGTTCAGCTATAACGCGTGTTTTGACAACGCGAATTGGCTCTAACGCGATTTATAATATAGAGGAACGATATTTGTATAACGTGAACGCTTGTTTGCTGTAACGCGATTTTTGCTTACTATTTCTCCAATTTTGTGGTATTAACTGTGAATATGGTAAAGAAGATAATCTCCAAGAAGCGTTCTGGTGATCGCATTCCCAGTGATGATCGTAAAAGAAAGGCTATAACCCTTGAAGAGAAGCTCGATGTTATCTACCTCAAAATCACCCTTCTCCCCCATCAAGTAATATTCATATTTTTTCAAGGTAAAGTGTTACATTTACTGTATCATTTCATTATTACATACGAATGTAACATTTATTTAGACTGTGCTATCCTTTGTGTTAGACTAACTACTAAATTTTTTTTCGATTTCGAGTAGTAATCTGCACCTAACCCTATTTTCTCCATAAGCCCTGTTATTTCTATTACGCGAATTTCTATAACACGATGTTTTACAAGAACACAACTATCGCGTTATAGCAGAACTGACTGTATCGGACTGTGATTGGGCCACACATCCTTACCTCCCTTCCCCGCTAGCTGTGATTGGTTCAATGTGATATGACGTGCCCTGCCACTACAGAGAAGACGCCGCTGGCCTACCCGCGTCACTCGCATTGTTCCCAGTCACCCGTGTATACTGTGCTCTATTGTCCCCGCTAATATCGTAAGAATAGCATCCGCTGGACCCCCACCACCACAGAAAAACCTTGCATTACCTGGACCCAGCCGCTCCAAGCCAAAGAAGATACGACGTGCCCTAAGTTACGAAGTTAAGTACAGTTGGGTCTTCATTTACGCGGTCAATTGAACCCGTGGAGGCCTGCGTAAAACGAGAAACGCGTACATGGAATAACAGAAAATATGGGATTAATTGAAATAGAGACTGAGCCGACCCCCAAACTCCACTTTTTCCGACAATACGTACCTTGTAGTCAAAATAACATCATAATTTTATGATGGTATGCACACACAATTAATAATTAAGAGAAATATCAATAATTTTAGGTTTTTTAACACTTTCGTTAGTAGAAAAGATGGCTGGGCACACGGGGATGGGGGGTTGGTTCCGAGGCAGAGAGCAGATTATTGGCCCTCACCTGTATCACTTGTATCAATTGTATGACTATCCACCACAGAGGCTTGCAGGGCCTCTTTGTCAAACCCCTCAAAGTCCATATCTTCACTATCACTATCACTGACTTGGGCCGGCTGTGGTGGGTGGCGGGTGAAGAACTAGGTAATGTTTTGATGACTGGGCGACCTTGTGCGCACCCTGCCTGCGCCTCTTCCAGCGTAAATGAACAAATTTACCGCGTAATTAAAGCATTTCGATTCTGGCAAGGCACCGCATAAATGACCAAACGCGTTAACCAAACCTGCGTAAATCCAGACTCAACTGTACAAGATCGTACAAAAGTAAGAAAAAGGAACGAGGCAAGTTGATTTGGCGTGCCAGTATGGCATGAACGAATCTACGATCCGGGCGATCAAGAAGGATTCCGCCAAGATAAAAGAACACATGAACATCACAAAATCTGCAGGTGCTTCAATGGTGAAGTACTGCTAGAACAAGGTGCTGCTCAAGACTGAGAATTTGCTGTTGAGCTACTTGATTCGTCAGGCAAGACTGAACATGGCGGTGAACACACGGCCAGTTCAAGACTAAACACGTGAACTGTACGTAGCAGTGGCACGTAAGATGGGAATTGCAGAGCCCAAACCCTTCACTGCTTCCTCTGGGTGGCTGCAAGGGTTTAAGAAGAGGAACAAGATCACCAACATTAACATTGTTGAAGGAGCGAGTGCTGACCGTGTTGCGGCGAGTGATTTTCCTCCTTTCTTACGTGACATTATGGAGGAAGGACAGTACACCGACGACCAGGTGTTCAACATGGATGAATCCGGTCTGTTTTGGAAATAGCTACCATCTAAGACCTTCGTTGTCAAGTCTGCCAGCAAGTGTCGGGGCTGGAAATTGCAGGAGCGCATCACCGTTTTCTTTACCACCAATGCCTCTAGTACCTGTAAGCTCAAGTTATCGGTGATCCACACAGCCCGCAAGCTGCACACTTACAAGAACATGGACATGACCAAGCTACATGTCCCCTGGCTAACCTCACGTAAGGCATGGATGTTCACTGTTTTGTCCCTCTCCTAGTTTGACGACTGTTTCGTTCTCGACATCAAGAAATTCTGTGAGCAACAGAATGTTTCATTCAACATTTTGTTGCTGCTTGACAATGCACCAGGACACTCGCCCCTACTGTTGGATCGTCAACCCAACGTAAAAGTGATCTTCCTTCCTCCCAACACTACGTAGTTAATCCAGCCCATGGACCAGAAGTTGATATGCAACGTTAAGGCTGCATTCTCTACAAAGAAGTTTAAGCTCCTGAATGACTGTACCAACACCAAGGATGAGTTGCATAACCTGGGTGACACCGATAGCGAGAGCGACGAGGACGAGGAAGAAGAGTTGGCAGAGCAAAAAGTTCGCATCAAACAGTTTTGGAAGAAATTCAACGTCAAGAAAGCTGTTGATTTCTTGGTGGAGGCATGGGGGCAGCTGTCTGTAGCAAAGATTCGTCACGCATGGAGACGTGTTGCAAGGTATCCCAGGTGGGAGGCAGAGTCAACCTGTGACTGGTGAGGTTCAGTCTGTTGCAGTGGACCTTGCAAGAGAAGCTGCACAGAGTGTTACAGCTGCAGACTTCTCCGAGACCACCAACGACGACATTATGGAGGTGATCAGGGATCCTGAGGTGACTGCCGACGAGATGTTGGAAGACGATGACGTCAGTGAAGATGCAGGTGGTGCGGCAGAACGAGAACAACAGAAGCTAACACATGGTAATGTAAAGGATGCCATCGAGTTTGCAGAGAAACTCAAGCTCGTCCTTTCCAACGACCCTGACGATCACCGCTATGAAGTCTTCAATAACCAGCTGTTGCAGACTATAGCGCGGTACATCAAGATGTATCACGAACACATCAACACTAGCCGTTAGCGTAACATCACAGACTTCTTTGCCCGCAACCCACCACAGCCAGCCCAAGCCAGTGATAACGACAGTGATGATGACTTTGAGGGATTTGTCAGGGAGGCCCTGACAACTGTGGTGGATAGTGATGGTGATTCACCTGAGGGCCAGTAATCTGCCCTCTGCCTCGGAACCAGCCCCCATCAACGTATGCCGACCCATCTCTTCTACTAACGTAAGTGTTAAACCTAACCTAACCTTTATTTTTTTCTAACCTAACCTAAACTAACGTAAGTGTTAAACCTTGATTTTTCTTTTACCTGGTACAGTATATTATTCTCTTATTGATATTTATCTTCTATATTATGTGTGTGCATACCATCATAAAGTTAAGATAATATTTTTACTACAATGTACGTATTGTGTCGGCAAAAAGTGGAGTTTGGGGGTCGGCCCAGTCTCTATTTCAATTAATCCCATATGTTCTGTTATTTCATTCACGCGTTTCTCGTTTTACGCGGACCTCCACGGGTTCAATTGACTGCGTAAATGCAGACTACACTGTATATGGCTCTCACAAAAAGTGTCTCATGTGCAGGGATAAGAAAATATCATCCCCACTTTTTTGTGGCACCACAAAAAGCTCAGGCCTAATAGTAAATGAAACTGTGCTGAAGATAGCAAAGGTTGCATAAATTAAAAACATGAAATTTGGTACAGATTAAACAGATAAGAGAATGAGAACAAAAAGACAAAAATTTAAGGTTTAAAAATTACTAAATAATGTGAAAATTTACTGCCTGCATCACAAATTTATTTATATTCCTTTTTTCCTGGTCATGAAACACATCTATATAAGTTCTGGGCAATTTTAAGAACAATTATATTCCATGCAGATAAAATTTATTACATGCAAATGTGACTGAAACTCACCAGTTACATATTGGAGTGTTCCATCCCCGTTGCATCCAATTTAATTTGTACTCTAGACCAAAGTCAAATAGTTTCATTAGCCAGGGCCCCTGTGTTGCCACTTTTTCCAGGATACCTTTGTAGATGCGATCAAGAATTAACTGCAGAAAGAAGACATGGGAAAATAAGTATTATTTGTAAGGAATGCTGAAAAAATTTATCTAGATTGAAAAAAGAAAAAAAAAAAGGGAAAAATGGGGTTCAGTTCCCAATGACAAAAATATCCCCAAAAATACAAAATCTGGTGACAAGCAGTACTACGTGCTCCAATTTACTACCTAACACATGACGTCACTACTTAACACCTGAAAAAAATTAAATATTGTTTAACTTTGATACACTAACTTATGGGAGGGGAGTGTGGGCTAACCACCACAAGGGGGTGGGCAAGGGTGGGCTGAGTAAGGGCCTTACTCAGAGAGATGAGGAAGGCTTTCCACCTCATCACTGCTGTTTGCCAAGGACACCACAGTCCTCAGCATGCTTGTAAATTGTGGCCACAGTAGAAGCAGCCAGATTAAGATCTTTCCCAATCTTGGTAATGCCATTACCACATTCATGGTGCTTAATTACCTCCAGTTTTGTCTCAACAGTCACAGCCTTTTGTGGTTTCTTCGGTGTAGTACAGGTAGCTGAAGATTCAGCCATATTGAAAGGATGGCGCGAATACACACAGAAAACAAGAGATTATTTCACACACACACACACACACACAATGAATGGCAGAAGGAAGGATGCGGGCAGGAGGGGAGGGGGGGAGGTGTATGATCAGTGAGTGAGAATATGTCCCTTCATCTCTCTTCCAGATCGCCGTGCCAGCAGACTCCCAGTGCATGAAATTTGAATTTTTGCCCCGAACCCAAATTTGTATAACCAGGGGCTTTCGTTCTCGAAATAGAGCTGTCAATTTAGGAAATTCGCATTAGCAAATATTCGCATCTCGAATGTTCATATTTTATTGAGGGATAGCTACCTGTATATATATATATATATATATTTGTATATATGTATATATATATTTGTCAATACTTTGATGTTATTGTATTTTAGTCAGTTTTAGAAGAAAACGAACATATTTCAAAGCAAACTTTATGAATTATTTTCTATTTTTTCAAATTTTTGCGTGAATATATTTGTATTTTCAAGGGGTAGTAGCATTTAAGTGCATCAGGCATTACCAGTCCTTGCTGCTTTTACTACCCGAATCCTTCTCCTAATTTGGACATAATCAAAATTAATATTTTCTTAAATTGAAAAAACTATAAATTTTCCTAAATTGGTGGACACAGTGGCAGACCAGATAGGATTGCTTGGTGGCAGAATTTTCCCCAACCCTGCTCAGGACCTAACATTTATTCATCTATATAGTCAGTTGAGCTCTTTTTCACACTTCCTTTCATTCTTTTGACGCTAACTATGCTGTGGTAAATTAACCTAACTAGCCACACATTAACCTTTTATGTTCCAGATCAACCCCCATAATTTTACCTGGCAATACTTGGTAAAGGAAGGATATATGCAATGGGGCTTTTGATTGGTGGATGTATTTTTGTCTGTATCACTGTCAGGATAATTATGAAAAATCTAAAGGCAGCACGTTAATAATACTGTAATAACTATTCATCGTTATTTAAGATCATGATAATTTTCCAAATGTTTGTATATTTGCTTAGATTATGAAGGAATTAGATTACAGTTGTACCCCACTTAACGCGGTCAATTGAACCCAGAGGGTCCCGTGTTAAGTGAAATCCGCGTTAAGTGAACAACAGAACATATGGGATTAATTCCAATAGAAACCGGCCCGACCCCCAAACTCCACTTTTTGAAGGCACATACCTATGTTGTAGTAAAAATAACATCTTAATTTTATGATGGTACATGCACACAATTAATACTTAAGAGAAATAGAGAAATACAGTCGCCAAGTTAATGTCCATTCAAATAATGGACTCAACTCCCTCCCCCTCTCACACTACACTGCTTGGGGGAAAACCACTAAATTTTAATAAATAATACCTCAAACTAAAGTTAGTTTAATACAATTGACATTGCTGGATTCCTTGTAAGACCAGGAATATTTTGAATATAAATGTCATATATTTTGGACAAAAGATAACATAGTTACCTAGAGAAATATTTTTATCTAAAAATTGTATGTTTAATGCAAAATATATGTTGTTTATATTCAAAATGATCACCAAATTATAAGAATTCCAGCAATGTAAATTATATTCTGACCGGGTAAATTGTATGAATTTTATGAGCTAAAACAAATATCTTCAGTTAATAAAAAAAAAAAAAATCTTCACAACACTATCTGTCAATCAAAGTACCCCACCTTGCCTCCCCCCCTCTTCCAACCGCGCGGTCAGTCCCAACCCTCCCCCCCACCCCCCACCAATCCTCCCTTCCAGAGTTTATAACATTTAGTATTAAATAATACCTCAGATTAAAGTTAGGATAATATAATTGACATTGCTGGATTCCTTGTAAGACCAGGAATATTTTGAATATAAATGTCATATATTTTGGACAAAAGATAACATAGTTACCTAGAGAACAATTTTTATCTAAAAATTGTATGTTTAATGCAAAATATATGTTGTTTATATTCAAAATGATCACCAAATTATAAGAATTCCAGCAATGTAAATTATATTCTGACCGGGTAATTTGTATGAATTTTATGAGCTAAAACAAATATCTTCAGTTAATAAAAAAAAAAATAATTCTTCACTGGGTAACAGATGGTCGGTCGGTCGGTCCCTCCCTCCCCCCCACCCCCCACCAACCGTCCCAAGGAGATGTGTGGGATAACCACTAAATTTTAATAAATAATACCTCAAACTAAAGTTAGGATAATATAATTGACATTGCTGGATTCCTTGTAAGACCAGGAATATTTTGAATATAAATGTCATATATTTTGGACAAAAGATAACATAGTTACCTAGAGAAATATTTTTATCTAAAAATTGTATGTTTAATGCAAAATATATGTTGTTTATATTCAAAATGATCACCAAATTATAAGAATTCCAGCAATGTAAATTATATTCTGGCCGGGTAATTTGTATGAATTTTATGAGCTAAAACAGGCAGTCAGGCAGGGTGGCGGGTGGGGCAAATCTAAAAATAGCATCCGAGCCGGACACTCACCGCGTATATGATGAAAAATGCCGCGTTAAGTGAAAGTTCAGCTTTGGCAAGGCACCGCGTATATGCGAAAACGCGTTAAGTGAAAGCGCGTTAAGCGGGGTAAAACTGTAATGAATTGGCAACTCAATTTCAACCGTGGCTGCCACAAGATTCTCAGATATAATTTCTTCATTATTTAAGTAAATATACGAACATTTGGAAAATTATCATGATCTTAAATAGCAATGAATAGTTATTATAAAAATTTTACTTTTGGATTGTGTAATATTTACCATACCCTGACAGTAATACAGCCAAAAATAGCTCCACCAATCACAATCCCCATTACATACAGCCTTACTTTACCAAATGTTGCCAGGTAAAATTGTGAGTACAAGAGCCAGGATGGGGGTCGATGCATCGTTGGCTGACTGTACATCAATGCTTCCATTCTTTCCTGAGTGAATTTCTCAAACTCTTTTCAATATGTAAATGTGTGCATGGAATAAATGTCTGTTCAGTAATTTGTTGGTCTTTAAGAATAATGGTCAATCATGCGGCAATGCTCTCTAGAAATATGAAATTGATCCTCAAATTAGAAGTATTTTTACAGAAATTATTCTAAAAATAAGTAAAGTAAAACCTCGATACATTGGACTTCAATATATCGGAATTCGCTTTTTTCGAACTCTTTGAGATGCTCTCGTCACCAGAAATACTCTTAAAAAATAAATAAATAAATAAAAAAAAATCTTATGAAATGACCAACAATTACTGAATACTGTACAGTGGTCCAATTATAATCAGATTTGCTATAAGCCTACTGAGAACTAAGACACTTGAGTATGTAAGCAGGCTGGAGCTGATTAGGTGTTGCCACATTCGTCAGGTTTATTTATTTATTATTCAGTATTACAGTGATATCCCAGTTAGCCGGAACAATTGGTGCACTTCCGGGGATGAGAGATTTCTGGCTAACCAGATGACTTTCTCAAACCCAGAAAAATTCCCCATCCCCGGAAATATTTCCGGTTACTGAAAAAACTTTCCTTGTGTCTAAACTATGCATCTTGCACAGACAAATACATGCCCACATCCTCAGAATGTTTCTGTGTGCTGGGAAGTTTTCCAAGAGTCTAAACTAAAAAGCTATATGATATGCTCATGAATGAAGCTGTGTGTTATAGCAAAGACTGGTATTTTCCACTCCCATGGAGCTGTGGGGGGATTAGTGGGTCTTGTGTAATTGACCTGAACTGACACAATGTGAGGTGGAGGTAGGGTGGGGTATTGGTGGTCTCATATTACTGACTTGATACAATGTCAGGTTAACCACTGTTGGGTGGGGGATTAGTAGGTCTCAGGACCTGAAGAAGTCTTGAGTAAACATGAAAGCTAAAATAAAGTATTTTTTATACTTATAATTATCACATTGTTTCCCTTCAACATCACATTACATAACATTTTAAAATGTGGAGTGAGAAAGCAGAAAGGTGTGGGTGATTAGAGAGATGGAGTGGAAAGGAGTGGTAACATGCACCAGTGTTGCCAAGTGATAAGCTCCTCAACAGCTGATCTTTTAATTCACTACCAAGTAGTTAACCACGCATTAATTTATGTCATACAATATGGGGGTGTGTGGGTGGTGTTAGGGTGTCTGGGTGTGATGTGGCACTAATTAATAAATAAACAATATTGTATTGTCAATGACAGTCATTTGATGAATAGCAGCGTACTACAATTGTCACTAATATTCATCAAACTACTGTACTGTCAGTAACAATACAATATTGTTTATTATTCATTAATTAATACCTCAACACCACATCATACATTCAGTCTTTTGTGCGAGACACTGTGAGTTGGAGGGAGGCTTAAATCCTGTGTTGTAGGTTAATTGTGTCCTATGTTCAGCAGTTGTACAGTACTACACAAAAAACTACAAAAAACAGGAACAAGC